TGCAGCAGGAAGCTTTTGGGGGTGGCAGGAGTGTCCTCTGGATTTTGTGCTCCATCTTGTGGCAACGCTTGCTCGATTCAGAGTTGTTAGTCTTGGATGTGCAAATTCAACTTGCTTGTCTTGGCTTCCACTGTTCCACCCCACCAGAAAGTCTCTATCTGCATTAGGGATGAAGCTTTCTGCTGCAAAAAGAATAGGGGGGCTGGAGAATGTGTTTGAAATCCTGCAGGAAGGGAAAAACAAACCTTTTATTTTATATTACTACAGTTTTAGAGCATAGTTTTTCTGATAAAAGCAAGTTTGTAACATGATGCAATCCAAATGGGGATTTTGAGAAGGCAAAAAATAGCTGTGGCCTGGGATGAGAAATCTATGGACTTCTCTTTAGTTAACAATATATATGATAATTGTGCTAAGGAATTTAAACCTAGGGTCCCTAATGGTGCTAAAATGCAATAGTAAAGACACCTAATAAGACTGCTATCTTAACTGACACTCATTTCCATGGTCACGACCAAAATGCTTTGATTTAAGTGTTCACAGCTGCTCAGAAAGGGCAGTGTTGTAGAGTAACTGTGAGACTTAAAACTATGATTATTTTTTTTAATTATTAATTTTTTACAAGTCAGATTTGATAGTATAATTTGATTTGTCTGCTCACTTTTCTCAGCAAACTTGTTATTTGATGGAGTTAGGCTTTTCTTTTTTCTTTTTTTTTTTTCTTTTTTCCATTTGTCACTGGATCCAACTGACACTAGCCTATGGGACTTTTTAAAAAATATTTTTCAGGTATCCAAAACGGATCCCTCACCAAAGAGAGAGATGCCCACTATGATTCTCTTCAACGTGGTGTTTGCACTAAGGGTAAGGACTGTCTTCATTCCATCTGACAGTGAGATGCGCTTCGGGTGTATAAGAGAATGCAGTAGGCTTGCGTTCTGGTAATCTCTTGTAAAGCATGCAGTGCCTGATTTCATTGGGATATTTTAACTTGAAACAACAAACCTAAAAGATGTGGAATATGACACTGACAAGTGGGAAAGTTTTCCAGCCCAGTGGAAAACAAGTACAGTTGTTTTCTTCAGGACATTTTTTAGAGTTTTAACCATTTTTTGGTTTTAAATACCCAGAGTGTAAAGGCATGCAAGAAACCACTTTGCAAAACCGATATGAACCCAGTTGCAAGTTGTGTATGTGTCTTGTCTTCTGTTACTAGTGAGCTGGTAATCTGCTGTGATTGTTCTAGACCCTGCAATTGAGGCTTATCCAACTAAGCCGTGCGAGAAGGCAGCCTGGATCTGACTGCCCTGTGTGTCTGATGCCGCTCTCTGTAGGTGACTGCTCTCCTCCTGCCCAGGATAAGACCAACGCCTTGCTGAGCCCTCGTGACTCCATGCAGGTCGGACCTTGGTGGCCGGTTCTGCTCCAGAAGCGTAGGCAGCAGGCAGCGTGGACAGTGGCTCGTGCTTGGTCAGCCTTAAGAGTCAGGTCCCCACCGTGGCCTTGGTCAACCAGAGCTTGCTCAGTGCAGAGTCATTGAGAAACCTGCTCTGGCTCAGAACAGCACTGTTTTGAGCCCTTACTCATGCTGTGTGATACAGAGACATGTGCCTTTGCTCATTGCCTCTAGGCTTTTTTTATAATTAAACAGACAGTGTTTGAAAGCTGCCTCCTTTTAGCAATGAGATCATTGTAAAGGGAGAGTGCTAGGGAGCAGTGGCTGTAGCATTCTAAATGAGAAGAAGGTACAAGTAAAGAATAGATAGATTTTGATGCTCAGCAAGAACCTGGAGCAAATAAGTTGGTTTTGCTTGGATTTTTTTTCAGGACTACTCTATTGACTAGATATTGCTATCTATGTCAAGGTATTCTGACTTGGCTAATTAGGTGATATAAAAACCTAGAAATTTCATTACATTTGAGCATTATTTGATTTCTGAGCTCTGGCTTTCTCTTTGCAGCCCACAGCTTGCATCTGTGGAGCCATCATATTATTTTTGTGGCATGTACGCATATGAAGAAACATTTTAAAAATAAAAGAGGGAATTGGAATAGATGTCTTTATGGAAATTGTTGATTTTTTGCTCGGCTGGATATACTGTCATGATTTGAAGCCTCCAGCTCCCTGCTTGTGAAATGACTTTTTTTTTTTTCCTTTTAGTACTAATATTTTCTTACCACTGGCTTTCCAGTGGACATGGCCACAGTCCAGATGGCTTGTCCTCATTTGAAGAGCAAGATTTTACACCAGACAATTATCCCAGCAATCAGTCTGAATCGAGCAAGAAATCGTTCCCTGAGTTCTGCTGGAGATCCAGTGTTCTTGTGCTTTGGGACATTCTTAGGTCAAGAAGTGCTGAATTTGCAATACAGGAGTTGATTTTAGATTTCACACATTAAGAGACATTAGCTTCAAGAATTTTGTTGGTTTGGTGTATTGGTAAAGCACCATGCTTTGACTGTAGGTAAGCGTGTGTAAGTGCACATGCAAAGACAAACATTCGCGCACAGTAAGTCATGTGGAAGCAGAAGTGGTGAAACCAATGCTCCTTCATTCAGAATATTGCAAGAGCTTGGTGAAGTGCAATGAAGACTATATCTAGCCCACATTTTTCCAGAATCTAATTTCTAGTGGTTCTCCTAGGAGAACTTGCTTTTTTTTTGCATTTTGACACTGTGATGATACTGATGTCATTGTGTGTGTAATGCAGCACTAAATCATATTTGCCAAATGAGACACTCTTAGTTCACAGAGAGCTGTCAAGTTTCTAGAAAGTGCTGTGCAAGAAGCAAGTGGAAGTTTTTTTCCTAGCATGGTATAGTGCACTCCAGTGGGTGGGTGGAGGCATTCTGAGATAAAGATGAGAGTCCATCTGCAGTGGGCAGACAGAGCAGGCAAAGTCCCAAATGCTGTAATCAGCACTGATCCTGCTGTGTTTAAGCTTCAGGGTTACCAACGTGTCGTGACTCAGCAAGAACAGTGGAATCCAAAAAACGATGACTCATGGTTTGCTAGTTTACATGCCAAGTTATCGCTTGCTAGAACTGTAAATTCCTTTAAATGTCTTAACAAACACAAAGCAGCTGCTTACTCAGACTGGAGCCACCAAGTGCCCCCCCCCTTGTCAGCTGTGCTTACATGATAGATTTTTCCAGCACTTTCATTCTGGGACTGACGCGAATGCAGTGTTAGTAATAAGCCATATTTATGAGATGTTTGGGAGCATAAATCTAAATTAATTCTGGTTGGGGATCAAATTGTTGATCATGTGCTGGTAATTCTTACCTAGTTACTGTCTGGTCAGTATGTAAGACAAACACCAGTATAGCAACATGGAGTGAATGGGCTATGTTAAAGGCACTGCAGTCCTTATACTCCCAGTAAATTTAACCTGAACACCCTGATATTCTGCCTTTTCAAACAGGTCAGCACTTTCTTTTCTCACGGTATGAAATTGAGTTCTTTGGTCTCTCTGCTAGCCGAAGGGCCGTTAACAACCAGAAAAAATAAACCAGATAGCACCTGGAGTATGATACTCCTGTGTTGATTTGATGCACATAGACAAACCTAGAAATCCCCGAGTCTTCTCTTTACCTTTGGACATCTCTGAGCTTCTGCTTTGTTGCTGCTAGAGAAAATTCCTTTTTTTTGCCAGTTGCGAAAGAGGTTGACTTCTGATATCTACTGAAGAGAATTATTTTGACTACTTACCCATCGCTGTAGTTCTGAATATATGATTATTGCTGAATGACTGACCTGTTTCTTTTCTGTGATGCCTGTAGGCCAATGCAGATCCATCCGTGATAAACTGCTTACACAACCTCTCCCGAAGAATCGCCATAGTCTTGCAGCACGAGGAGCGCCGCTGCCAATACCTGACCAGGGAGGCCAAGCTGATCTTAGCTATTCAGGATGAGGTGTCTGCCATGTCAGAAAGTGAGTGCTGAGCTTAGCTTTGTGCGGGACTATGTTTGTCCAGGAGCACTTTTTCAGAAAAGTGCTGATTGTGCCTTCTTACTTCTTTTGTGGCTGGGATCAGTATGAACAAGTTTTGATGCTCTTTATCATTCTGACAGTTTTGACTGCATTTTACTTCATCTAGGATCACTGTCCCAATGCAGAGATGTCAGCTTTAGAAATGAAGTAGCTTGTTTACTTTCCTTGCTAGCTTAGTTTAGCTTGATAACCGGAGACTGTGCACTGAACCATCACATTTGGATCTGCCTGTCGGGCTGAGATGGAAGAACTCTTATGTAGCCTGCTTCACCCAACCTAGAGCAAGTTTCCCCTGCTTTAATGCTGTGTGCTGAGTCACCAGGCTTCTTGTGTGGAAACTTTAATCATATATGTTGTTACTATGTCTAGCAGATAGATACAGAGCATTTTTATAGGCTGTACGTCAGAGCAATTTACTATAATAATATGCACTATTTAAGGTGAACTCTACCTGACAGTGATGCATCATCTTGCTGCAAGCATTAAAAATTAAAACTAACGTGTATAAAAACAAAAACACTTACAATCATCACTTGTCAAATTCACAGTTACATGTGCTTAACTGAGTTGAGGTTTAGGAGAAGTTGGCAATAATTCATTATTATTTTAACACATAACTTGAGTTACTCTAAAAGCTTTGAAAGCTAATTGTAGATTAAAAAGATAACGGATTTGTCCCCAAGATACTGGTTGATACCGTGTGGGGGAAGAGGAAACTCTCTTTGCTTCGAAATGAGTTGTTTGCTTTCTTGTTTTGAAATTTTCCATAGCCACAGAAGGGCCACAGTCACCTTTTCATCACATCCTACCCAAGTGCAAACTGGCCAGAGATCTCAAAGAAACATATGACAGGTAAGTGGGATTTTCTTCCTAGCTCATAGTATGCTGCTTCTCACTGAAACCTCTTGGCCGTGTTCCTTAGGATATTATCCACCTCTTCATGCTGTTGACTCGTTGGGATTTGGGGTTTAGACCAGGTGGAGCAATGTGAAGGCTATCTGTCAGGTGAAATGTTTGCAGAATTGCTATCCTAATCATTACCTTGGTCTCCCTTTGGATATGTTATGATTCTGAAAAGTTGGTGATGTCTGTCACAGCTTTAAGAATTATTATTTTCTGCCTTAACACAGAGGCACATAAGAAATGAATTGTAAAATTTAAAAGTGTCATAATATGAATATCATATCGCTGTAGAAGTGCTCTAAACTTGCGGCTAAGAGAAAGATGCTGCATCTAGCACTGAGGGCAAGTCAGATACTGCCCTGGCTTCATTTGGTTACACTGTGCATGTCTGGACAGTGAATTTGAAATAGCTGGTGAGACTTTCAGCAAAATGGAAAGTGTAACATGCTGTTTCTTGACTGGATTAAAAGTTCTGGCAAGGATTTCAAAGGAGCGTAGGGTAGCAGGAGCCAGCACTGACCTCCTCCAGGGTACTTCTCTGACACCTTGTCAGTGCTGACTCCTCACGCAGAGCAGACACCTCTGGTCAGGATACGTGCTTGGTGAAAGACCTTGACAAAGGAGCACAAAAGATTTTGGTGAGGAGGATGTGCCCCTTGATTAGGGTGTCTGTCAGGGCTTGGGAGAATTACTCTGGAGTTCCTTGATTGACTGTATAGCACATCGTATGATATTAGACAAACCCTTTAGCCTCCCTAGATTGTGGTTCCCCTGGTACAAAGGGAATAATTGCAAAGCCCTGTAAGGTAAGGCACCGAGGGCCTAAATAATTTAATAATTACAAAGCACATTAGAAGACTTCTAATAACCTGTTCTTTGTTATTTTCGAGAGCTGTGAATTTCAGCTTGTTTGGAAGGAGTATTGTATATTGTTCTATACAACTCGCACAAAACCTGTACTGAAGTTTAAAATAAGGCACTTTTTATGTAGCCTGGAATTCTAATATTAAACTTCACCTACTACTTACTTTTTTTCTGTTCCTCTCGGGCTATGCCTTTGAGACTGAGTAAACCCTGATCTTGTCTCCAAACATTTTGGTGGCACAGTGACATCTTGTGGCATTTAGCAGTGTCTGGAGGAACATAGAGCCCAAGCTCATGGAGTGTGATAGCACAACCCTTCCGTGACATATAGGGGAATAAAGTGACCACGGAGAAACACACATTGGTGTTGTCCCCCAGATGTAAAATGAGGCAGCGTCTCCCTCATTTAGGCATTGTGAGTGGGGGAGAAGTGGTGCAAGTTACATTTTGATACTTTTGCATGACATTGTCATAAGCAAATGTAAGAAATAAGGTGTTGGTAAAAATATAAAATGTCTGTGCATTTGATTGGAAAGCTCTATCTGAAGAGTCGTTAACAGTGTTGTTGGCTGGCTAGGTAGTAAGGTGGGGTTCTGCAGTGTTTTTCCACTAATACTTTATGCGAGAGAATAGGGAATATACTGATTACACCTACAGTCAGATCAGTTGAGGGGGGCTGCAGGACCTTGCCAGGCAGGCATAGAATTAAAATTATTTTTTGGTGAGGTCTAGAAATAGGATTTTTATTCTACAGCTCCAAGATGAAGAATTCCTGTGTGGCAGCAGCTCTGGAGGGAAATTTGTGTGTCTCCTATGAAATAAGGGTTAGCCACAAGTGTGAGATGGGGTTGCAGAAAAAGCAAATAGACAAGAATGCATAAAATAAGTCTTGTCTGTAAGATAGGAACTAATCCTGCTCAGGCTTGTAAAGCCCCTGTTGTAATAAATATTATATCCAGTTTTGAGTACCGCATTTCAAGAAGGATTTGGGCCACCTAGGGAGTGTGGAGGAGTGAGAATGACCTAAGAGGAAAGATCGAAAGATTTGATCTGTTTCTTTTAGAGGAGAAAAGACTGCTGAGAACGGTAAGTCTTCAAATGCATGCAGTGACTATGTGCTATTTTAAATTTACAGAGATTTCTGGCGTAGCCTTTGGCATAGGGGAACAGCATAGTAAAATGGAGAGAGCACTTTGAATTGCAGATGGGAACCCAGCTCTCCATTTGAGATTCGCTCAAACCAGCATTTCCTAGTGTCTGCTGATTTCTGCAATTCCAGTCGAAGCCCTCTTGAATTACCAGGGTTGCTCTGGAGACGCTGTCTAGCCCTTGGTTTCCTGTAGATGGTGCTGAGGGCTTTCAGGCAAGACCCAACATGTCCCTTAGCAAGTTGGTTTGTACAAAACCACAAGTGTATGAATCTTGACTGTAACACTCTTGCTTGACAGTTTAGAGACGACCAACATCTAGTTCCTGGGACCTTTTTTGACTCTAATGGAGAAAACTAGAATGTTTCTTTTTGATCAGTTCAGAAAATAGATTTGTCTTTGTTCATCCTGTCCCCAAACTCCAGCATTGATGTGGAACAAAAAGCAATGGCTTTAGGACATAGAAAGTCCAGTTGCCAGTACTTCTGGTGCTGACAAATTTACCAGTGTTACAATGGGTGTTTCTTCGAAGCCAGTATTGAATTTAGGGAATTAAGACAGCTTTCACCAAGTTTTATCTGTAACTGCAGATAATACGTTAGCTTGATACTAGCTAACTGCCCGTCTGTTTTTAGCAAACTTCTCTTAGCTTTATATTGGAATAAAAGCAAAAGTATGGGGAGGATTGGATTGTTTGTTTCTTCTTTTTAATACACAAAGAGCCTTTATACGTTTTAAGCCTAGTGGGATTTGAACTGACTGGTAGATCTGGCCTATCTCAGCAGCTCAGGGAGAATAATTATATGAGATTTAATAATTATCAGATGTGATTTGTGTGGCTGTACTGTAAAATATAAACTAACTACAGTTACTTGATCAAAGGATGGTCAATGTGTGCTTTACGAGGAAATGTGAAATAATTTCAAAGCTCTAAGTAGTCACAACCTCTAGCAAAAATAAACAAACTCCAAAGCTACAAGCTCACCTCCACCAAACTAGGAAAGATGTTATTAATTTCTGATATAAATAGGATAGACGTAAAATGAGGTGTGCATATGTAAAAATTCATAACTCTTTTATAAAATATTGGTCGGGATTATCTTTGTTTTGCCAATAGCTGTGAAAAGAAGGCTGCAGTTCTGTGGGATACTGGCCAACTGCTGGGTTCCCATTCTGGGGCAGTGGCTGACAGTTGCTGTTCAGGGCAGAGCAGAACAGTGGTATTCCCAAAAATGTTCCCCAGCTTCCTGCAGCTCTGGAGGTGGTTTCTGTATATTCAACAGCCTTCGGCTGATCTCACTTCCTGGAATTAATCCACAGTCCTGTGAGCCAGAGTAAATATTTAACAACCACAGCATCCTCTGATAAGGAGATCCATGGCTTAACTAGTTTCTGTGTTTCTTTCGATTTCTTTTGAACTTTGCTCCTTCTAGTGTCATGAAATGTCTCATAGGTCTCATGATGGAGAGATGTTAAACAGCTTTTTCCTATTTACTTCTCTCTGTCTCAGTTTCAGACTACGATATCCCCTCTCAGTAGCCTAATCCCTCACCATGTATCCCTCAGTATCGCTCATCATGTATTATCTAACCAGAGATTTTTAAAATAAAGTTTGAAAATAAGTTTTGATGGGATAAAATGGAATGTCTTTGAGGGTTTAATAGCAAGTTACAGTATGGGGAATGCAGCTGTCTTTGTCAAGTTAACTCGTGAAGTCTGTGGGGAGAAAGGAAAAGTTGCAGCAAGGTCTCTGGATACCAGGTGACTGATAGAACAGCAGATGAAATTCAGTATAGCTAGACGTAACGTAATGCATGTAAGGCCAAACAACCCTTATACAGCTCTGAAAAGAGCTTTTGGAATTACAGCAGATAGTTCTGTCAACTCGGTGAAAAAGCTCAGGGTGCAATAACACTGCAAAAAAATCCCCATAAAACGTGAAGACTGGTTAGGAAAGGAGCAAAGAACAAAAGAGAGCCTTCTGTAAATTCTTGGTGTACCTCCTGCACATTTGAATCTTTATGCAATTCTGGTTTCCTATCGGGGTGACTTAAACTGTGTTCCCGAGGTTCACGGTGTGCAACGCAGCCGATGCAGTGTTCTCGTCTTACCCAGAGTCCTGCATCTTCCTGGACTCTTTGCTCCACAATTTTAGTTGGTTAAGAAGAATAAGGTAGAATTGGAGCTAGGTGACTCCCTGATGTGACTTTGAAAACTTGTTTTCTTGGTATTCTCTTCTGTTGCTGATTTTTTTTTGCTGTTCTGCTTCCACCCCTAAAAGGCGGCGGCTTCTGGATCTGCTGCTTCCCAGCCAAAGAGCTTGGGGCCAGCTCATGGAGATTGTGAGGCTCACTGTAAAAAGCTTGCTAAATAGATGACTTCATGGGAAATCTGTAAAAATGAAGGCAAATGTGGATCCAAACTTCGCTTTCTGTGACTTGATTATATTTCATGTTGCATGAATCTTTGTGGTATGTTGGTGAAATGATTTAACTCTGTTGGCTGGCTAAGGGCAGTCACATACATTACTGCTGGAGGATGTAGCTTATTCCTTGTCAAATTATTAGAGACTTAAATTATTTTTCCATCCAAGGAGGGGCAGGTGAAGGAGAAATCATGTACATAAAGCTGTAATGAAGGCTTGAAATTGTACAGTTGAATGCAAATGTAGAAGAATGAAACTAAGATCCAGATCAGAACTGAAAATCTGATTCTCTTTAATTCTAGGCTCTTGTTGTACAGTGCACTGTAGACAAAATTATGCTGTGGAGAGTGTAATATGTAATTAAAGCTTCTGCCTTGGTGCACTTGGACCAAAGAATGAAAGAAACCAACTATATTTTTTTGTTGTTTCCTGAATGTTAAACTATGCAGGGAAAATATCCCTGCGAGTGTTTCATGTTTTCATGTTATCTCTGCTTCTTTTTTGGTAAGCTGTTTTAACAACCCCAATAGCTTTCAGGCAGTCTCTTAACTCACTTGTCCTGTTCATTTATTGTCATGTTTTCTCTTGTGAGTATTTGGCCTGGTAGATAGTGTGGAGAACTACTGCTCCAGGGAGCCCTTTACCTTGATGTATTTTGAGAGAATCCAGCTTTATCCGTCAGTTGGCGTATGGCCAGTGCGATAAACAGCGTTACTGGAGTTGCAGCATTTAATGCAAGAAAAACAGAGGTGTTTGCTGTGCTTTGCATGTTCCTTCAGGGTTTGGAGCCTCTGATCGGATGTGAGGTGGTATCTCCAGAGAGACGGTGGATTCATCCTTTCAGTTCCTTTTCAAAAAAGGAAAACCACGTATAGTATCTGCTCCACTTGCAACTTGAAAAATTGATATTTTTCAGAGGTCAGTGCAAGATTTGAGAACAAAACCATGGCCTCTGCTTTTGAAAAGCATTGTCGGCAGTGAGATTTTCCCTAATGAGTCTGATCATGCACGAGGCAGGATGGGATCATGTTTGCTCGCTCTCACCACTCTGTTGTGGTTTGGTGAATAGTTATACTGGCAGCCAAAGCTACCCAGTGTTTCTGTTTTAAAGCCGAATTTTCAGGTCTCTCTAAACCCTGTATACAACCAGATGAACTTGAAAAAGAGCATGTTAGTTTGTGGCCTATAATTGAATGCTAGGTATAAATGTTAAAATCGCCACATAAAGAGTTTCCAAGTCATGTATTTGCTCCCAGCCTGTTCCTGGCATGTTTTTAAGTCTGTTTTGTGTAGAGGGGAAATTCGTGGGTGTTATCGACACAAAAGTCATATTGCGAGTCTCAACGTGCTTGAATTTAAAATCCAGGCTGGAATTTTCAGAGTCCAAACTTTGAAATTTTATTTTAGGCCCCTCCAAAATACTTTTGGAACAAACTTTAAAATCCAAAGACCTATTGAGAAATTCAGCTCTCCGGTGTAGACAAGATTAGCTGTTGCTTAAGGTTGATTTGCACGTTGATAGGTGTTCCTAACTCAGTATACAAGAGCAGATGCGAAGGGCCTTGCCGCTTCCTCCCTGCCCAGTTCTGCTGCCTCTAGCAGAGCTGGTCCCGGGCCAGCGTTTCCCACCTGCTAGCTGGGCAGCGTTGGGAAGGTTTCCAAGGTGGTTCTAGCTTAGCTCCGTATGGTATGTTACCCTTATGGGTATCTTTACCCATTTTTACATAAATACAGTTACCGATGTAGGTTTATTTCATCTGTTGTCTAGATTTACAGACTTCTATAAAACTACCTGAATGACGTTCATTGGTCTAATCTCCCAGCTTTCTGGTTTTTTTTTCAGTAAAAGAGGCTTATAGTTGCTTTCAGGCTGAACACAACGGTCAGACTTTATTGTCATTCCTGAGATGTACATCATTTCCACTCCAGTCCTGTTGTCTGCGGTCAGCTTAAAGGCTTAGCTTAGTCCCTGTGGTTTCCTAGAATGAAGAAATGATTTAACAAGCACGTTTATGATTTCATGTGACAAGCAGGAACAGGTTAGTAGGCAACAAACAACCTAAGCAGAACCAAAGGAGTCCATTATTGTGGAAATGTGCTGCTTACAACACTCCTTGCCCAGCACAGACATCTCCTTTTTTCTTGGAGAGGAAGATGGAAATTGGAGGTGAAAACATTGTGCCCAATTAATCTTTGCCCTTTGCAGCTCTAGTCTAGGGAATTTTCCAGTGTCTTGCAGTAGATCTTCAAGAAAGTCTTTTAACTTGAGATACTGCTGCAATGTTAAGAGCAGAGAGAGCAGAAGATCAGTGAGGTGAAGTCTTTCAAATCCCCCCCAAAGCCTTGTAGAGGATAATGCTCTGTAAGTACAAGTTAAGGAAGCCCTTGCAGCTAGGAGCCAGGTGGTCCTCTGCCAGTCTGGGGATAGACAGAGTACACCCAGTCTTTTCTTGTCCTGATGTGATTCCTGTACAGAGGTCAATCTGGACCACTGTTTTCATTTCTTATACATAGTAAATGCGGTATGTATTTATTTTCTTCCTATTTTAGTCTCTGCACAACAGGGGTGGTCCGTTTACATATCAACAACTGGCTGGAAGTGAGTTTCTGCCTGCCTCATAAAATCCATTATGTTGCCACAAACTTTATACCGCCTGAAGCAATTGAGAGAAGCCTGAAATCTATCAGGTAAGGGTGAGCTCTGTCCTTCGGAGTGTGGCCGGTCCTTCTTCCAGTTCCAAGTGTGATGCCCCAAATGTCTGTGGTGGCACAGCTGGGGGGGTGCTGTGACACTGAGCTGTAGTGACGGGGAGAGCATGGGCTGAGACAGGACTCCCTGAAGCTCATGCCATGGTGTATGTAGTGGTGTGAAGCCACAGCCTTTGCCTTAAGATGAGGTGATTGTACTGAGGTGATGCTGCAAGAGAGGTCTGTGCTGTTTCCAATCAGAGGAATTGTGTGTTCATTTTAATCTGTTGACCCAGAAGTAATTTTGCTTTTAGAAGAAAGAGGGCCCAGGCCCTGTGATATCTTATTTCCTGCCTTCCATGTTTACAGCTTTTTACCTGCAAAAGTAACTAGCTCTTGCTTTCTTCCTTTCTCCTACTGCATTCTCTATTTCAGTAATGCAGATGAGCAGTTTTCAGACTACTTCCCCAGGCCTAATAGCATGCCAGCGCAGTGCAGTCGTTTTTTTCCTAGTCGCTGGGGCATCCAGTTACCATATAACCCTCTGTCTCCTTTTTATAGGGAGCATCTTACCTTGTGACATAAAAATAAGCTTATTCTGAACCCACTTACAGCAAAAGATGATATTAGAAGTTCTTTTTTTACCAGTAGATTGACCCCAGGTATCATGGTCTGGGAATAACTAAGCCTTCAGGAAAAGCTGCAGTTTACTGTGCAAATGTATTCTATTTTTCTGCAGGCCTTACCATGCCTTATTACTTTTAAATGATGAGAAGTCGTTGCTTAATGAGCTCCCGTTGGACTGCTCTCCTGCCCTGGTGAGAGTAATTAAAACTACCTCTGCTGTGAAGAATTTGCAGCAACTGGCTCAAGATGCTGACTTGGCATTGCTGCAGGTACGGGGAACTGTCAGCGGCAGCTGAAAGTCTTTTAAATCATGAGGTGCTTGCTTTCTGTGTGCCAGTGGGTTTCTGTGGTACATGAGCACATCAGTCCTCTCGGTGTGAGCAGAGTGCACAGAGAAAGCTTGAGCCTTAGAGCCTGGGGAAAAGGTTGGAGAAATGAAGGGCAGCGGTGTGGCGAGAGTGCTCGACAGTCCTGCAGCCACATCCGAATCACAGATTGCTGTGGGGCAGCAGGGGTGCCTGGAGGTCTCTAGTCCACACCACTGCTCAGAGCAAATCCATTAAAGCAGGCTGCTCAGGAGCTTGGCTGCTCAAATTCCGAGTGCTTCCAGGGATACCTCCCACAGTCTCTCTGGGCCCTGGTCCAGCATTTGACCAGCATCAGAGTGAAAAACTTTCCTCCTATCTAATGGGAATTTCCCATCTTCCACCTTGTGTGCATTGCCTCCTGTCCCATCCCTGTGCCCCTCTGAGAAGAGTGGCTCTGTCTTCTCTGTGCCTTCCCGTTAAGTAGTTAAAACCAGAACAAATAGTACTCTTGATTTATACCACAGTGGTCGGTCTTGTTTCTGCCACGTTGATGTCTGTGCAAATGGAGGCACCCAAAATGCAAGTGAGAGCTTACAGCTGCCACGGCCAAATACCTTGCTTCCCCTGGATCTGCCAAGATCTCTTCTACTACAGAGCTCTGAAAGGTGGTGCAAACCTGCCTATCGATTTCCCTTAGTACGTTAGTGCATGGGCTTTGCAGAGGCCCAGGAAGAAGCTCAAGTTTTGGCTTGGGCAAAACTTTTAAGTCAGTCTCTCCAAGCCAGCAGCTCTTTCCGAATGCTTTTCCAGTATTGACAACCAAATTTCACATCTGAATTGCTCAAGGTGGTGTGACAAGCCCTTGAAAAGGGAAGTTTGTGCCAGTGAAGGGAGTTAGGCTCTAGCAATAACATGAGACACGAGGCCACTGAGAGACCACTGTGGATGACTGAGGTCACTGTGGCCCTTTGCTTGTCAGGCCTCGTGATTGTATTGGATAATGCAGGAGAAGAGAGAGTCCCTCCATGCTTCTGAGGGTTGATTCAGACCCAGGGATGTGATTCATGCTCTGTGTGACAGGGTAGAAGAACACGGCTTACCGTCTCAGATGTGCCCAATCGTAGATCCGCGCCTTCGCTTATTCAAAGGGAAAGGTCCTGTTTCGTAATAAAACCTCCAGGTCTGCTTACAGTGGTCTGTGGTCTTACTTGGCATTACACAGCTATGGGATGAACTCTGGAAATTCCCTACTGCTTCTGTAGTTTTGTTCTCCACAAAAAAGCAAAGTTAAATGCATCTAATGATACAGGCTGGATTTTATGTCTTGTAGACGCTATTTATGTGGCTCTTCCAGAGCCATTAACAACCACTGACTTGTTTAACACATTAAAATACTTTGTGTAGTTCATTACTGAAGTATCTCAGTGCATTAAAAAGGCAGTGTTGGTTTCCTTTGTGTTTGTGTCATAGTAGAGGCTGATTCTTTTGTTTTATTTTTCATGTATAACTTAATGCATTTTGTGCATAAACAAAAAGAGGGTTTTGGGGCATGAAATGTAACTAAACTTCTATTGATACAGTTTGAAGAAATTCCTTTGAGGCAGGAAATACTAAGTTGCTTAGAAATGTGAAGCGAACCTCTGGAAATTTATAACCTTGTCAAATGCTTTTTGATGTGCCACATGTTACATGAAACTGTGAATTTATTCTGAAGGCAGGGTGAAAGGATGGAACGTTTTTCTTTCGTTTCAGCTCAAACAAGGCTTTTCTGTCATTGTATGGAACTCTTGCTGAGAGTTTGAATTTTGCTTTTGCTTCCCTAATTTTTCCCTGTTTTCTCAATGCAGGTCTTCCAGCTTGCTGCACATCTTGTTTACTGGGGAAAAGCAATTATTATTTATCCGCTGTGTGAAAACAATGTCTACATGCTTTCTCCAAATGCCAGTGTCTGTCTGTAAGTAGAAGGAAAATGAATGACTGTAGCAACAAAGTGGTGAGAAGTGCAGATATGCTTTCCTTCCCTGTCTTACTGGATATGGAGCGGGATCTTTCTTCATGTGTGAATTTGTTGAGACTGTACAAAACACAAATCATTACATGTGCCTGAACTTGCAAAGCCAGTGTGCAGGAGGGAGGAGCGTCATAGCAGATCAATATGCTTCTGCAGTGATGTGGGCCTTGGAAGCAATCTTTACCCTGTGAAGCTACTTTTAGTATTTTCAGTACGCTTGCTTACTCAGTGTCCATACCAGAAAGGCTGTGTGAACCTGAAGCGATATGGAAACATTTACAAAACAATACTTCATGATTGAGTTAAATAAATGAGCGTTTCATAGGGCTATCTGTGTATCTGGCACACAGCATCACTTGAAATTAATGAAAAGTAGAAAATCAGGGTAGTGGTGCTATCACTACTGTATTGTTTCATGTGATGGCGTTTTATACTGATACGCCTTCTCGCAGACGGAAGGCAATGCGGCCATTTTGAGAGCGGGCAGCAGCAATGCAAGGAAGATGTGGAGGCAGTGGTGGGTATTTTTGCTCTGCTGAAAATTGGCAACCCTTTCTGTGTTGGATCTGAGACGTTTTTAGAATCTGTGTTGGAACTCAGTTATAGGAAAATAGTTTTAAATGAAAACTTCTGTGGTGGAAGTATAAAAATAGGGCTGGATGGGACCTTGAGGTCATTCAGGAACAACACTGCCTGTGTCATATATGGCAGTGCTGTTCTTGAAGACCTTTGTAGATGGAAATCCAAACATAGGCAGTTTTCTTAATATTTCACTTGACTGTACTTCTGATCAGTCATATTGCTTGTCCTGTCAGCAAGGGCAGGGAGAACAGTCACATCTGCAGCTGCATTTTGCATATTCAAAGACTGTGTGTATGTTCTGCTCATCCCTATCTTCTCTTGACTGCCCAGTCTCTGTTCCTTTGGTCACAGACTGCGCAGGTCTCGACTTTTATTATTTTTATTTTTCTCCTCTGAATTCCCTCCACACCTTAAATAGCATACTGGACCTGAGTGTAACGCTGAGATGAAAGTGCATATGCTTCTTGCTTACTTTTGCAGGATGCAACATGCCATAAACTATCCTTACTTTTTTCTAGATCACAGAGAATATTTCATTTGGGAATTGGAACTTCTGTGATGCTTAAATGGGTAAATGTTGCACTGACCAGCAATATAAAACTGATTTCTGCCTTTACCTCTTTTCTGTAGTTATTCTCCATTAGCAGATGCATTTTCTTGTCAGTTCCGGGGCCACAACCTGCCGTCGATGCTTTCCAAGTTCTCCCTCCCAGTGTCACTCTCAGAGTTCAAGAATCCGCTCGCGCCGCCCGTTCAGGAGGTGAGATGGGGAGTGTACAAGAGCTCCTCGTTCTCCTGCTCATGAGAACAAGGAATGGTGTTGCTTCTGGAGTACCCAGTTGGGAACTTGCTGTTGCAGGTTTAGAAGTTGCCAATTACTGTGTTTCCAACCATATGATTTGTTGTTTCATATCCACACGCCAAAAAGCTGTGGGGATGTTCAAGGTGAAGCTGTGCGAATGCTCTGTGCTAGCAAAGCACAATTCTAAAAGAAAAATCAGAATGTTTTTTTTCCCTGAGTGATATAGTAGGGAAAACTGAAACTCCATTTGGTCTGTTAAAAACTGTCATATATTAGTAGGACTGAGTGCAAGTTTGTGTATTCCTCACAATCACATTTAATTTTATTATATTCCATCTGCTTTAAGTTCACAACCTGGTTTTAAAAGCAAACTGTCTATTCACTTAGCTTTTGCTATGCAACTGGGATTGTTTAAAGGCTGTTAGAGGAAGTAGACTCAGCATGTAGTCAACAGAAGTCCATGTGTTACAGCATTAGCATTTCAATGTTCAGATTTGGGATAATAATATAAGGATTTTGGACTCGTGAGCTGTTGTTCTGCTTACGCATAGATCATGACTTGTGGCATTTCTGAGAACTGGTGAAGTGCAAGAAAGAGCTCAATAACTTGAGGTCTCCTGGCTGACACTGTTATATTCCCAGATGAAGGAGCTTGGGCCTCTGAACACAGCTCGTTGTGGCAATGGAAGCATAGGCAGATTTCTTCGGCTGGTTTCTTATAGTGGTGTTTGCTCACCTTCATACTTTGACTTCATACTTTGACTTGCTGGCTATATGAATTCAGCCACTATTCAAATACCTGGACGATTAACATCAATTGCGCACGCAGGCGCAATTGTGAGAGAAGAATTTGTTGTAATTACAGGTTGGCAGAGATTATGATCAGAGATAAAGATAAGTAATGGTGTAGTGTCTAATCCCAAGAGTATGTACTGGTCAGCTGCCACCTTGGGAGGCAGGGGAAGAGCAGTTTTACTGTTTTGTTGGTACTTTGTTGTAGTTACAGACAAATCAGTGTCCTGAAAATTGAAGTTGATTAATGACATTGATTTTATTCTAGCTGCAGTAGCTTCAGGAGGCATTCTTATTCTCAGTTGTCCTTTTAAAATTAATTACTTGCCTTAGTACTTCTCTTTCAATACTTCTGTTGTTCTCAGACATCCTACTTTTGTTTAAAATACACAAAGTGTGTTGCTTACTGCTGCAGTTATGCCTTGAAACAACCGTGCGTGATCAATGTTTGCCAGAGCTGTTGGAGTGCTAAAATGGCTCTTTTAGAGTGGGCACCTTCTCTCTGATGCTCACCTGTCTGTGGTGGGGTCCTAAAGGTCAACTGCACAGCTTGTTTTCATCCTCCTTTCAGCGTGAATGAAATTGCTCCAATTGTAATTAACAGAGATCTAGTCGATAGGGCAATTAATCTGATGAAATGTGGGTGGGTTTTTGTTCCACTGTGCAGTGATAAAAGATGCTGTACTCTGAACTGTAAACATTGTCAAATTTATATTTACTTTGCCTTTCAAAACAAAAGTTCGGACCTTTCACTGTGATTTTGGCCTTTGTGTACATAGGAGGGGATGTGAGGGTTTTTTAACTTTGAAGATTTTCACTAGCAGTCTGTTATCTTGTGCTTTTCATCATGCTGACTGTACTGTCTCTGTATTCCTGAAGGTCATCTGTGCTAGAAGGTCAGTACTGTGGGAAGGGCTGTATTTTCTGCAGAAACTGTTATGGTCTTACGGAATCCATCCCATTTGATTCTTGTCTTAAGCATAGGATTGGCTCCCTGCTTTTGGCATGTGCTTCCGGATGGGCAGAGAATATGGAAGGCATTAATAAAGTCCACGATACAAAATAGGAAAGCTGTTAAAGAGCCCTTCCTCCTGTTTTTATACAAAGTCATACTGCTTGGTTTGAAAGAAGACAAAGTTATTTTTGTTTGCTTACTGTTACATGGGTGGAATTGCTCCATTCGTTTGGGTAGGTGAAAAAAAAGTGACACTGGCATTTTTAGTCTCGGAGTGCTGTGGTATTTTTTGGCTGGTAGGAGGTACAAACAACCTGCAATACCCTGAGCAAGGACAAGGACAAGACTGCCTTGAAAGATGGAGTGCATGTCTACATTCTGCTTTTGGTGCCTTGTCTGTCAAGTAGGTAGGAGACGTCCAACGAGTGGTGTCTGCAGGACTGCCAGTGCTCTCAGCCATGCCTTGTGCTAGAGACAGGAATTCCTCTTGACCCTGTCGTCTTGATCTCTTTTCTTGCCTGTGACGCCAAGCAGTATATTGCAGTTGAACTGGTTGTTGTCTATCAGTGGTCTTGTGCTTATAATTCGAAAAGATTCTGGTATTTGTGTAGTGATGTCTATGCCAGCTTCCCTTTCTCTGTGTTTAACCTGCCTTGCTTGCATAGCAATGCTGCAGCAGTGTGAGGATAAGCCTACGCCTACAGCTCAGCTGATCTAACAAAATCTCAGTGCTGCTGAGAGGAGGCCCTGGTTTTCCCTTCTACTCTCAGGTGTGTGCGCACATGCCTTCCTCCTTTCCCTCTTCCCTTTGCGCTAGAGCTCTGGCTTCTGTCCAGCTTGACTCTATTCACTTAACTTGTTTCAGCCGCACACGTTTTCTGCCAGGTTAGCAGGTGGAATTTGCTCAGGGGGGAGATCCGGCAGGTTCCAGGGCTGGCACAGCATGAGGGAGGCACTTCTGCAGCTGGGGATTTGAGTGAGGAAATCAGAAGCTGTTTTCCCCTTTTCACAGTGGTGAGTTGTCTCTTAGCTCCACCGTGCTGTGTCATATCATCCGGACTTGCAGCAATCCAGTGCAGCCAGTTTAGCTCAAGCTGCTGGTGCTGGATCTCGCCAGGGTGCGGCCATGGAGTAAGGAGATCCTGTGAGCTGATACAATAGGGAAACTCGCCTTCCCTTTTAGTGTTTTTACTGGAAAAGAAGCAATTTGCATGTTTTCTACCCCAACCACAAAGAAGCTGCCCTTCCTTCTGCTGCCTGTGACTGCTGGTTCCTGTCCCTGTGCTCTCCTCTCGTACGTGTGGCACAGCCTTGATGGGACCACAGAGCACACCAAAGTGGAGCTCTGGTGATGTTCGGTATGGTGCACAGCCCTTCATAACCTCCTGCGAAAGCACAGAAACGCTTGGTGACCTAAAACTTTTAGGTCAGCACACGTTTATTGACAGAGTATGCGTACTAGGCACTGCAGTCGGTGCATGGAAATGCTTTAACCTGCTTTTCAGTGCAAAGCTTTCCTTGCACAATATCAAAGTTTCTTCACCCAGCTACTCTGCGCTAAGTTTCTTTGCAAACCAAGAGAAAGGGATGATGCTTGTGGCTTCTCATCCATGCATTACAGCCTCGACTAGTTCATCTGTTCCGGAAGAAGCTATAACATCTCTCTATCCTGCCTTGAGGAACAAACATGGACTAGCGGGAGGGATCTTCCCACCCGTAAGGTAGAAGGAAGGTACCTAGGTGAATTAGACATCCCATTTCCGCCCTGCATCCCCTTCCCTACAGTCGCTCTTTATCATAATGCACGTTGTTATTATTATTGTACTTATCTAATTCTCCCTTGATGGGGCTAGGATAACTGTGGAAAAAACCAGATGGGAAAGAATGACAGCTGCTGCTGAACAAAATATGTTTAATTTTTCACTTTTGTTTTAATAAGTTTGGCCATCCTGTTGAGAGTAAGGCACGGGTAGATGACGCCTCTGCCTTATGCATCCGGAAAACGTGCTGTGCTTTGTGTAACGGCTGAGTGGAAAATGAGTGAGTATGTCAGGGGATGGGAGTGGGAGGAGAGCTGCATGCAAGCACTGAGTAGGCAGTTGTGTCTTCTGAGAGACGTGCTGCAAATGGGGCTGGTCTGCCGGGCATCTGGAAGGCATTAAGAGTCATGGGAGCTTTTGTTGGCAGAGGTATGGAAGTAGTATTAAGGTGCATTTAGAATCAGTTGGATGAGCTATAAAATCAGGGGTTTTTAATGCAGCAAGTTAAAAAAATATGTCTTTCTAGGCCTAAATGGAGGGAATGGTTAAGCTGAGAATTCAAAGCCGGTGTCTAATGATTAAAATAGCAATATGAGACAATAAATGTTTTGCCCTACATTAACAGGGGTCTTCAGAGTCCGTTTTCTGTAAAATAGGGAGAAGTTTTAATAGCTGATCTCTCTTTCATAAAACAGTGTGGTTTACATGATAAAGAAAGGTAATATAGTTCAGCAAAAATGTGTTTACCCCAGCGATTTTGAAGGTGCTATCCGACTGAGCCAAGGCAGCCCTTAGTTTTCAAATCAGACCTTGAAGAGTGCATGTGTCAAATAACGAGATAATCCAGACTGGAGAAAGGGGGCTCATATATTTTGGTAGGCAAAACAAGCTGTGTTTTAACTGAGAGTGTATGCTCATGTAGTGAGAAACAAGCTAGGATTGTGTGCTGTTTTCCCTTCCCTTTCCTGAACCTGTTGCTGGTCGCAGTTATCTTGGCATTTTCCTTAGCTTTTTAGGCCTGGGAAAGAAAACAGCTTTAAAGAATCCTTTGAGGAAACACATTTTATTTAGCACGTTACTCAAGAGTTTTACAAATGCTCCCTTTGGTTCCCAGAGGGAAGAGAATCATGAACGCTGGATCTTGTCCCTCCAAGACTTGGGTCTGAGCTTTCCTCTCACTGTCCCAAACTGCCCAGATGGGCTGACGTACACTGCCCGCATTTTCAGAGGCTAATACATCTTCTCCGCTTTTGTCCATAAGCACAAAGCAATGTATTGTTACCAACGCCTTCCATGCCGCCTTGCGTGACAACACGCTCTAACTTCACCCAGGGCCAGCTGCGCCGCGAGGCGGGGAGAAGAATGGGATGGCCGTGGGCTGATCCGTGCCAGCGGGAGCGGTCCAGATGCTGCGGCAGACAGGACCCCCTCACAGCAGACTGGAAAGAAGCAGCATGAGGAGATGGGAAGGAAGAAATTTAGAGTTGATTGGTAGTTAAATTAAGCAAAGAAAAATGTTTCGTTTTATATTTCTGTCACGGTCCTGGTGTTTCAGCCAAAAAAGGCTGGCTATGGATTCCTACCGTGCCAGATGATGAGTGAGTGAGTGGAGGCAGTCCTGGGACTGAAGTAGACCCTTGCCTGGGAAGTTACTCCCAGACCTTTTGGCTTCAGCAAGGAGCCCAGCTAATCAAGTAGACTGAGACCAAGCAGGAAGTAACCCCGTATCTCTGAGAGGGGAAGAGCATTTCTGGCAGCCAGCACAGCACAGATGGTGCAGGGAAGCCTCTTCTTCTGCAGCCCTGTCTGTGAGCTCCGTCAGAGCTCAAGAGGAGCAGATGGAGAATGGATGTAAATTCAGTGTTCGTGTCCCGAAGGACAAGCAGCAGAACATACTAGCGAAGCCTCTGCTAGACCTTATCTGTGAAATAGGTTTAAACCTGGAAAAAGTGGAAAAGGTGTGAGGCACGTTTGCAGTGATGGCACAACGCATGCCATTTTGGGCATGGGGCCAGTTCCAGGATGCTCCATTGCTTGGGTTTTTTTCTAGGACTAGATTTGAAGAGGTACCAAATTCCCGCTGAAGTCTAGCTTATTATAGGTAATCGTCAATGATCATCATTCCCTCTTATCTAGGGCTGATTGTTCAGGCTCACTCCAACATGGAAGAACAGTTTTCTCTAGTTTTCAGGTTAGTCACAGCCGATCTCCAGCTCTCCCACTTACAGCGCATTTGGCAGTCGGTCTTCTTGTTCTTCTGTGCCATAGCTGCTGGCTCAGGGGTTGCATTTTAGATACTTGCACAAGAGTGTCGACGTGAAGGTGCGTATGCAGAATTAGAGAGTGTTGGATAAGACTTTCCAAACACCTGGAGCTGTAATGAAAGCAACTGGCTATTTTTGTAATTCATGAAACCACCAAAGTGACCAGTGGATGTTGGTCTAGGTCAAGCCCTACCTGGCAGGTCTAGTAGCGCCTGTCTTACTGTCTCCTTGAATTGCCTTGGATTTTTCCAGCATTATTTTGTGCTGTGAAATGCACAGACCTCTTTTCATTTGATGTGAAACTAGCTAATTGGACATCGCTGCATGCCAACAGGTTGGAAATTTAAGTAAAATATATAAGATGTCTTTCCATCCAGGCCTGCATCTGGAAGGAAGGTTTTTAGCAACGTAATCACTGGAGTAAGCCTCTTGTCTCTTCCGGGCCGATTTCAGATGTTAGCAAAACACTGCGCATTTGGTATCTTTTTCCAACCTTCCTCTTCTGTACATTTTCTATTAAACATGTAAAATGAATTATGGCTTTTCCAAAAAAGATATGTTTGAAGGCAATCCCAGATAATATGTTTGAAGATTAAAATCCATTCAGGTCCCAAAGGTGGTAATCCCTGAAAAGACAGGGTGTGGATCTGTCTGCAAACAGAAGATGTTTCTTTTGTGATTTGATAGCAGAGGAGGAACTGAGAATTGTAAGATTTATGGAAAAAGGAAAATTATGTGGGCTGATGAACTTCGGTTTGGGGCTTTTGTTGAGATTTGGCCCGTTATCCTGATGATTAATACAGCAGAGCTAGCTTCTTTCTCAGAGTCTGAGCTCATTCTGCATGTGTTTCACTCACCAAAACACTGTTGGTTGCTATGAAATCCCCAAACAGCTTTTGTCAGTGAATCAGTGTTTTCAGAGCCATTAGCTAGGGGAAGGGTTGCCTGCAGTGATATGAAAAAGCTTTTTGTGCAGAAGTTCAGAAGCGATGATGTGGTTTGAATGCTCCTCCAAAGCTCCTGAAAATAGGCCACGCCAAAAACCTACAAACACTTGTCCCTCACTCTGCCCGCTGCTTTCAGCATCGCTCTGGGGACATCTTGCAGGTCTTCAGCTGCTGTAACACAAAGGGGTTGTTCATGGTTGTTCACTACAAGCATCATCTCTCAGTGCTTTTGAAACTTTTGCCTGTCTGCACCCTAAAAACCTAGGTGTCTTTATAAGCTTGGCCTGTCCTGTTATTGCAGAGGGTTGGCAAGCAAATGGGGATATGCGTTGAGAGGAGAATCCTTGGCAGCAGCTGGCTGTTGTCTCTTGCCAAGGTTTCTGCTGCTGTTCGTGCTGTTTCTGTATCGCTGTGTCCTGGCAGGGCTCTCATCTCCAGAACCTCTCCCATGGTTATGCAGTGATTTCCCATCTGACAGCAAATGGCTTCTATTTCTAGGCATCTGGCTTGGTTGCTTCAGCTCTGCCCCATCACCCTGCCCTCTCCCTGGCTTTCTAGGGGACCCTACACTTTAATCTGACCACTCTGGGGTTAACCCTTCGGTGATTACTGATTTTAGTGGGCCTTGTGTAGAAACCAGCAAACTGGTCTCAGGGCTCACACTGTTGGGCCATGGGCATCTGGTTGACTCATTCTCCACATCTGGGCTCTCAGAAGGAAGACTATCCCTTTGTCTTTTTGAGCACCTACTAAATTTGTTTTGTTAAAAGAGCACTGAACAGCTCCAGGTGGGCTTGTATGGCTACGTTTTGTGTGGCTAAAGTGTCGTGTGGTGAGGGCATTCAGCTGCTGTGCCTGAACATAGCAGGTGCTGGAGCTATGGCAAGGGGGCAGGACTGGTTTGTTTGAGGACACTGGCTTTACTGGTCAGTGTTGCATAAAGACATGATGATCATTAAAGGCTTGATTACAGCCTAAGCATCTACAAAGGCTTTGGGTGTGATGAACATGTGTGCCTGGTCACTATTTTATGATCGGAGAAGAGATAAAACTGTTGTGTGGGGTGGAAAGCACTTCTCCTTGTGATTTCTTAGTCACAAAGCCTAACCTTTGTGCATTGTTTTCCTCCTGTATTTTATTTCACGAGTATTTAATACCTCATTTCTTACTCTGCAGACTCAGCTCATTCAAATGGTGATATGGATGCTCCAACACCGACTTCTTATTCAGCTTCACACTTACGTCTGTCTGATGGTGCCACCAAACGAGGAGGATTTCCGAGCCCAAGATGAAGACATGCCCTTTACTGCCAGAGTTGGAGGCCGAAGTTTAAGCACCCCCAATGCTCTCAGCTTTGGTTCTCCAAGTACGAGCACACTTTTGTCTGCTGTTCAGACTACAGCTCAGTTCTAGAGCTTCCCTTAGCGATGCCTAGGGTAGTCAGGCCTCAGTAACAAGGCAACTCATCTTTGCTGGAATGCTTGCTAATTAGGTACAGCCCCTCTTAAATTTAGAGCTGGGCATTGGTGAAAGTTTTAAGGGCTATCAGACCTTAAATTCGTCTTTTTTAAAAAGAAGTAGTGCTTTGTAATTTGCCAAATTCTCATTTGGTCACACAAAATATTTTTATCAGAGGTACTTCTGTTTTTTCAAAGTAACTTCCTACTTCCGTGCTGTACTCAGAAGTAACTGCCATGTTCCCCTGGCTGCACCACTGTTACTGCATAAACTTTGGTTTTCAGGAGAGGAAGAAAACTGTGAGAATTTATTTCAAACAGCATTGGTTTCCGTGGGCTGTAGAGACACCTAAGGAAATGCAGAGCTAGCTGTCATTCTTGCAGATGGTTGATTTCTGTTTACGTCTCCTGATTCCTTTAATCTCCTCAGTGCCATTCTTCGGGGTGATTCCAGAAAAGCATTTTTTTTTAAGAGTATAAATCAGATGCAAATCTGAAATCCCCAACCTTTCCTGCCTGTGCTGTTATGAGCAGCATTCTCAGAACGCCACTGAGGTTGGATATCAGGAGAGATTCAGCTTTACAGAAGTCATGAATTAGGGCAGAAATCTTGGAACGTGAGTCAGATAAGTCTGCGATCTGCTTATTCTGGCTCACTCACAAGAGGATATTGCTTCTTGGCCTTTCTTTCTGCTTGCTCCCACCTTCTGTGCTGTTAGGCTTTTCATGTTACCACTTCACGGTATTCCAGCAGAGCTGGCTGGGAATTTTCTTTTCAGATGTTTTTTATGGACTGTTTATGGTCTCCAGAAGTACAGTTTTCCACATAAATTGATGACTTTGTTGAAATATTTGACTTTCCCATTGAGAAAATCACTGTGTTGTCATATGACTAATTGCAGATACACATACCGTTTTGAGAGCCACTTTCTTTGCTTTACAAATCTGAAGGGGTTATTTGGAAAGACTGCATAGAAACAGCCTGAATTGATAATCTTTGCATCATTATGCTGAGGAATGTAAAAATTCTGTGTCTCTTTCTCTCCCCCTGGTAGCTAGTAGTGATGACATGACTCTGACAAGCCCTAGCATGGATAATTCCAGTGCTGAGTTGATACCTGGTGGGGACTCACCCCTAAATAAAAGGATGACGGAGAATCTCCTAGCAAGCTTGTTGGAACATGAGCGGGAAGCTATCCTTAATGTCCCTGCTGCCCAAAATCCAGAAGATCTTCGCATGTTTGCAAGGTAGGAAATGAGGAGTGCAGAATGAATAGGTTTTTTTTCTTATCCTTGCTGTTTTATTGAAGGATTGGTGTGGACTCTGAGCAAATCCCATTAGCTTGGGATTTTGGAGGATAAATTCTTTTGGGTTTGTTCCCCTTACACTATTTCATCTGTATGATGGATATATGAAGGAGCATCAGGGCGTATGGTTGGACAACAGGGACTTCACTGTTTGCCTGCCGGTTTTCCTGTGTCCACACATGGTAGACATAAAACTGCATAGCCTGAAAAAACCTTTTAAGAATGCAAAGCAAAGACTCGGTCATGCCGATGCCGTCATTTTGTATCTGTTGAGATTTCCAAGCCAGCTATCCTTTATTTTAAGGTTTGTAAACTCCATGCAAATATGAGACAGAAACAAAGAGCATCAGACGCAAAGCCAGCCTGAATATTTTTACAGACCAGTCTACAAACGTTTCGAGGTCTGTTTTGCTGAGAGATGAGCTGCTCATTACATTAGGTTAGTTCGGTTAAAGTCATTAGGATGTGTGATTAGTAGCACACAGGTTTGTTGTTACAAATTTCAACATAACAAAAATACACAAGATGTGGTTCTGCACATGGTAAAAAGGGAAACAACTTCCTAACCAACCATCTGGGAAAAAGGTATGAGGGGAAATAGTTTTTCTTCCTAAGCCTTTCAAAACACAGTGGCATCACTGGAATGCAACTTTCACTGGTTTTCATGCTTGTGGAGCAGAAAACCACCTGAGGCAAGTACTGCAGCTTTTCCTGTACTTCCCAGATTCAGTAGGTAATCCCCTGAAAACCTGGTTCTTGCCCTAGGATGGATATATTCAAGTAGCCTAGAGAAACTGTAATAGCGAGAAAATACTTCTCTTGTCTGTGGCAAAGTTTGCAGCTATGCTGTGCCCAGGTATTTTCATAGAGCTCTCCCAAGCTTGTGGGTAGTTACTGCTCTCTGAATTACTCGTCTCCTTCTTCATCTTCTGTAAACTGTTCAGAGGATATTCTGTGACTGAGAGGCAACACTTTGGCCATTTGAGAACTCTGAAATGTTTTTCCCTTATTACCAGATAGGTCATTACAAAACCAGTGAGAAGGGAAAGTAAAAACAAAATCGTAATTGGGGATATCTTAAGACAGAATTTGTCAGGGATGCTTTGGCCTGGTTTAGTGGCAATGCAGACCCTTAGTTATCCTAGAGAGAGGAAAGGATTTCATGATTGCTCCGCTGTCACTTCCCTCATCTGGGTAAAACAGCCATTTGGCAGCTTTGGAATTGCAGATGCAAAAAATTACTTTGATTTCTTCATAAAATCAGCTGCTGTAACCAGGCAGCTGTCTGAATGATGTTTATTTTGCAGTTTGTTCGTGCACCGAGTTCTTTTGCAGATCCCCAGGATGGTTTTGCTAAGTCTGAATTTCCGTTCTACTAAAGAGTAAGCGATGCAGGTGTCAATTCAATCTAAAGTCAGCAGTGAGGAAGAGAGAAGATACGACAACCAAATGGGTCCTGTGGGCAGGATGCTGGAGTGTACAAATAGAAATGTTGGTGCAAGACACTCTTGGTTACCGGTAGCTTTATGAGACACCATAACTTGGAGGTTGTGGCTGTATTTTCTCTCATTTTGCACCCTAAACTATCAGAGACGAATGTCTGGGTAAACCTTTTGCTCTTAATGAGAGTGTAGACAATTGTGGAGAAGCCGCTGCAGTGAATGAGCTGATGTCCCTCATTACCCTAACACAGGTTACTGCCCCAGCTCTTCTTGCTGCTTCATTTTGAAGAACAGCAGCCTAATGAGGGCTGTCCTCTGGCAAATAGCTCTGCTGTATCAGCTGCCTCCCAGAACAAACTCCTGCTATAAATGCATAGTTAGTGCACTAAATATACTGCAACTGCCCTTCCAAGTCTCGTCGTGGGTGCACACAAAGGAATGGGCTATTTTCAGCAGAGCAGTAAAGTTCAGCCCGATACATTGTCTTGTGTCTATGGCTCTGACTGCCTGTTATTTGTTAAACAGATGGCAGAAGGAGCTTGTGCCTGTCCATTGCTATGCACAGCCCGTATTTCCAAGACAGAAACCTTAAGGGGAAATAAGGAACTCTGGAGCTTGGCTCCAGCATTGGCTGCATTAACCCTCATAACATTCGATGGGAATTGAAATCCAAGTTCTTTCCTTAGGTGCTGCTGGAGGAGGGTTGGCATGTCCTTCCAGAAGTAAACGTAAGAAGGAGACAAGTTCTTTTTGAGCTAGATCTTCGGTAATGTACACAAAGCGTTCCTCGCTGCACATTAAGCAGTGCTTTTAAAGACAGTTTGAGGCTTCACTCATGGCTTCTCTCCCAAGCCATGGGTCTGGAGTCGCTTTCAGGATGTTTCTTTCTTGCTCTTAGATTGGGAGATGGAGATCCTTTACTCCACTGAGGAGTGCTCATCGGTGGCGCTAACCTGTGGACAGTTCTGCTCCATTTTCAAGCAGTGCTGGTGGAGGGGATATCTCCTTGGCTAGAAATAAGCTGATTTTATTTGATGACTAGTCTGAGATAACCCTTTTTCTTTTTTACACTGCTGTTAGAGGGGCAGCTCTTATGACTTGAAGAGGGGAGAACAGTGATGAGCAATGGAAAACAATAATCTTCCATGACTGCATCTGGATGTGGAAGTGCACATCTGTCAACAGACACATCTGTGCAGCTTCAGAGGGACTCAAATGGAGTGTTACTGCCCCAAGAAGTGCCATCTTATGTCCCATTTGGGTCCCATGAACGTTCATTGCCCAAAAAAGCGAAGGTAGTGCCCATCTTCACTGGAGCTGTGAGCCCCAAGTTACAGCTTTGTAGCATCTAGTTGGATTTTTGGGAAAACTTCTTCCCTGGGAGGGTGGTGCGGGCCAGGACAGATTACCCAGGCATGTGGGGGGATCTCCATCCTTGGAGAGCTTCACAGCTTGGCTAGAAAAAGCCACAGCATTGGCAATAGGCCTGCTGGAGCAGGATGCTGGACTAGACTTTGGAGGTGTCTTCCAGCCGGCATTTTTGCAATAGTCTTTAATATCCTCTCTAGCTTTTATTGGAGTGGAAAGTATTTCATCTTGGCTGGTTACAAATCCAGGCTCTTTTTGAATATAGGATGGGTTTATTTATTGGAAAACTCCTGCTTAGTCTGTGTTGCTGTTGAAAGCCAGGTCATAATCATTTGCACAGAAGACAGCTGTGCCAGGAGAGGAGCGCATGGGCAATCACAGCGAGCAGCTTTGTAGAAGACAGAGAATATGTAGCTTTTAAAATCTTTTTCAAAATCACTTTTTGAACAGAGATACAAGTTACAAGTTACAAGATACAATATACAAAAATTTCTGTTAACACCTCAGGGAACGGTCTGGTTTTGGTGCATACACACACAAACCAAAGCTGTCCCTGCTAATGGCCACTTCTCAGCACACACTGGTTGCCATCAGCCCAGGGGAGGAAGCCAATTAGCCTGATTTAAATACCCAGACCGAGGTACTGCAAAAGGCAAATGCACAGCCCAGATAGTGGAAAGGTAAATATGTCTGGAGCTTGTCCGTCTGTTGTTTGTTTGGACTGTGCAGGTACAGAGACGCAGCAGTTACGTTCTACATAACGGTGCCAACTTGAGAGCTTGGCAGCTGAACATCAAAGCAGAAGGGAGTTTGCAGGGTGCTGGGGGCTGCACGGCCTCGGGCTGGCAGCAGGGATGAGGCAGCGAGGTTCCCGGCTCTGAGCTTACATACAGCTGTTTGGGGAACAAGAGGAGGGTGAGAAGAGGGACATGGCAAATTGGGGAGCAGAGAAACACACATGGGAGTGGACTAGAGATGAAACAAGTATGGGGGGGAGCCGTGTTGCACAGTGACTCCTTTCCAGTCACCCAGGAAGGGTAATGGGTGATGGGAGTGCCTAGCCCGAGCAGCAGAGGACAGCCAGGCAGACGTCGGTCCTTCAGGGAAAGCATGAGAGGACCCATCCTGCTGTCGCGTGAAAGTAGGCAGGAACGCTCTACAGGATATTTGGTGTCTTTTGAGGGCTGTACCTGCATGAAGACTGTATGAATGAATTGGAAAACAGGTCTTGTCATCTCCACTCATTTTTACTGTCGGTTGGCACGAAGCAGCAGGCCAGCATATTTCTAAACTGCAGAGAGGTATGGAAACACGAGCAAAAGCTGCTGAAGCGCAGAGCGTGATGCGTAGCCCATGCGGACACATGTCTGTCTGTGTAGCTGGGGAAGTGATTCGGGCATACGCGTTTGGGCCTTGGCAGGTAGGAGTATTTGAGTGACATGTGCAGTGTGGGTCCTGTGTTGGGGAGGTTGTTAATGACAATTAAGAGATGGAGCGGCAGACTTGAGCTTCGTCCGGAGGGCTGGCTTGGTGTTATGGCTCTGAAGGGTCTCTGGGGAGCAGGTCCTCAGCCATCAGGGCCTTGCTGCAGCAGTTTGGGTTAGACCCTGCCGTGATTGACTGTGCAGGACTGAGGTTATCTGATGTCTGTAGCGTGTTGGTGGCCAGCAAAGGGGTATCTCTGCTGTCTCTATTTAAAGAGAACTGGGACATTTAAGAAGCCAGTGTGGTTTGAGCTTAGGCTGCAGTTTTGGGGCTCTTTGGAGGCTTTATTAACTCCCAGAGGTTCTCTGTGGTGCCTGTTACCAAAATTTCCATCTCCCTGTTGCGACTGCTCCACCTAACCCAAGGTGACCAAACCTCAAGAGCACACGACCAGTAGTTACCAAGCCCCTTAGGCTGCCGTGAGGGGAAAATACGCACTTAATTCTAAAAGTAAGTGTAGGTACCCAGGCCGCTGATGCAGAGCTGTGATGAAGGGCGTTGTAGACCCAGCTAAGAAAGCGGAGAAGTAAATGTGCCACATCCTCACTTCTCAAGGGCTGGCACTTGTGGTTCCTCACTTTCTGGTGTTAAAACTATGTTGAAAATTGACAGTCTCAGGAAATGCCCCAGGCTAGGAAACCTTTTGATACAAAGAGGACCTTTGCAAAGCCCTGAAATGGGGAAGTCCCCTGGTTTTCCAGGGGATTTCTGTGCTAGGCACGCCTAAGGTAAGAACCAATTTAATTCACTTTTCATGTAAACGAGGGACACAACCCAAGCGCCTTTGGATTTGTATCCCACAGGAGAGGAAACCTTGAGGGTGGCAGGATCCATTCTAGCTGCGTGCACTTGCTTTTGGCCCACGTGCTTCCCTTGCTCTCCTTCCCACAGGCTGCTGCACTATTTCCGAGGCCGACACCATTTGGAGGAGATCATGTACAACGAGAACATGCGTCGCTCCCAGCTGCTGATGCTGTTTGACAAATTCCGCAGCGTGCTGGTGGTGACCAGCCACGAGGACCCCGTGATTTCAGTTTTTCAGTCTCTCTTAAAGTGACTCTGCTGTCAAAGGAAGGGAACCTGCTACATGCTCCATACTGATAGTCTAAAGATGCCTAAAAACTAAAGGAGGTGATTTCGGTTCCTGTTTGCCATGCGACAGAGAGCAGGTTCTCTGCTCCCTGTGGTGATAGCTGAGGCTGGTCCGTGCGAGGGCTCTGGGCCTGCTGCAGGACAGCACGCATTTGCTCAGCCTGGATTCCTGCCGTGCCACATCCACAGCACGGGAGCTGCCGGTTCACAACCCTTCCCTCACCCTGCTTCCTCCCCAGGGCCAGGATTTCCACTGCAGTGTTACTGACAGTACTTCGGGCGGATGCTGGTGCATCAGAAGTGCTTTCTCTGCTCTCCAGCCCCACGACTGCTGGGTCACTCAGGCGTGAGCACCGTTCGTGAGCAGTCCGTCCCTGCGGCAGAGCGTGCACGGCTTCTGCTCGGTGGCAGAGTGGCGTTGCCCTGGCTTTTAGGGAGACGTCCCTGCACACCGAGGAATTGTTTGATCGTTGTTAACCGGCAGCAGTGAGGACGTAGGTAGGAAGGCAAAGTATCACAAGTAAACAGTTTCATGAATGAGAATGACTCACTGACTCTGTTACGGCTTATTGGTTCCTCTCCCCAGTAGCCTTATGACTAAGAGGCTGTTGGAGCACGGCTGTCACCAAGCAGCCTGTGTGTTTGTGGGTTTTTCAGGGCTTCCAGTTTTTGACTGGGCATGGGTGGGAAGCTTGGGTGTTGAGCAGGACTGAAATTAGGTGGCCAAGCTGCAAGTGCATGGACAGATTAGTTCCACACAGCCAGAGGCTGGCGCTAAGGGCACTCAGACTTGTCCCCCAGGACTGGTTTTGTTCCTCCATTCCCCTCCCTGCAAGCATGGCTGTGGCTGCAGGGAACCAGACCGGGAACTTGGCCTGGGTTAAAGCTATCCAGCTGAAAAACAAGATACAGGTCTGTACCTGGCTGTGTTTCAGGACTGCTCCTCCAGCCGTGCCAGGGCTACAGCCCTCTTCCTGGGGACAGCAGGAACTTATGCCAGCTCACCCCTGGCCTGCGTGAGGCTGCTGTTCCTCACCGCTCCGTGCTGCATACCCAGGGAAGGGTGGGGGAGAGACCTTTACCTTCATCGTGGCAGCTTCCAGGGGTGTGTGTTGTTAAAAGATTGTCAGGCTCCTCCCTGAAGACCTTCCCTTATACCACACACGCACACTCGGCATGCGCTGGAGCTTTTCCCAGAGTTGCAGGCTCTCACAGAGCAGCTTCACTTGCCCACACAAACTGGGTGAAGCTGTGGGCTTTATATAACTTACCTATCACCAGTAATGCACTGGAGGAGCCCCGTGTCCCCAGCGCACCAGATACCTGCTGACAGCTCCTTACCCACGGTCCCTTCAGGCAGCCTTCCCCTGC